CCACATTAACAAGAGTTAAAATGTGGAAGCAACTCAAGTATCACGGATACATGTATGGACAATGTAGTGTACATATACCAATGGAATACTATCCCACCTTTAAAAATCAAGAAAAGAGAAATGTAATCATGTTATAACATGGATGAATCTGGAGGGCATTTTTCTAAATAAAAAAAGCCAGTCACCAGTCAAGTCTTATATAATTTTATACATGAGATCTATTGAATAGTCAGTTCATAGGCAGAGTAGAATAGTGGTTACCAGAAGCTAGGAAGAGGGAAGAATGAGAAGTTACTGTTATGGGTATAAAGTTTACAAGACAAGAAAAGATAAATGGTGATGATGGCTGTGCAGTATAATAAATATATTTAATATCACTGAACTGCACATTTTAAATTGTTAAGATGCCAAATTTTATCTCTATTTTATCACAATTACACAATTGTGAAAAAAAACCTCATTAAAATGAGGTGTTAGGTGCTAAACTGTCCTCTTTAAATATGTGAGAACAAATGAATTAGTCTAAACAGAAAACAGCAAGCTTTGTATATGAAAATGTACTTGATGGATAAAACAGCTAGATTGAGCACAAAAATAAAAAGTTGGGAGCTGGTGGCTAAGATCTGTAATACTAGCTACTCAGGAGGCTGACATCTAAGGATCACAGTCCTCTAATTAATCACAAAAAAAGCTGGAAGTGGAGCTGTGTTTCAAGTGGCAGAGCACTAGCTTTGAGCAAAAGAAGCTCAAGGACAGTGCCCAGGCCCTGAGTTCAAGCCCTGGGACTGGCACATGGACACACAGAAATCTGATCTCATTTTCTCTTCTCTACCTCCTTTTCTCCCAAAATAAACCATATCCACATGCAACTTCTGGGGGCTAAGTGTTTATACCTAAGCTTTTAATTATGGAAAGGAGTCTAAAAATACTGTGAGGCAAACAGGACTACAGTGTCCTTTCAAGTAGCCAAAAAAGATGGATAATATCAACAACTTTCTTGTTGCCATATGTATGGACAAAAAAGAAATGACATAGAACAAACAAAAAATCTATTAAAATGTTGAATAGCAGAAATGAAGGTCAAGGCCTACTATCTTTGTGAGATACCTCGTTTTTATCTCTATGTCTATGTCTTCCTGACTTCTCTGAAAAAAATAAACAGAACTGCCTTAAAGAGAAAACATACCAGAGAAAAGTTGCCAAGCTATTATTTGACTCCTTTAATACACCTTTACATGCTTCTAACACATGTAGCACAAAGCATCTATCAGGCTTCCGAAAAAATTTAGAATAACAGACAGCAGACTTCTTTACATGGTTACAGAATAAACAGAGAAGAAGTCTTTAAAATGTCTGATCAAGAAAACAACTTTAAAAGATCTAATATTTAGCTTTAACAGCTACAACTTTCATTATCTAAAAGTAATAGTGTCCGAAGTAATATGGCAGGAGCAGCACCTGTCATTTGCTAAGAGGTTTACTTACTGCCAGGGACAGGTGGCTTTAGGAACCTCTCATTAATCATCACATAATCATTTGGATTTGAAATGCAGGTCATATACTAGTCTATCCAAGATTACTTAGAACAATACATTTTTCCTTACCACAAACCAAATGGGCAAACCATAAAATTGTAAAGTAACATTTTTTTCTTTTGTCTTTTTTTGTGTTTTGGTACTGGGCATCGAACCCAGGACATTGCACTTGCCGGGCAAGTGCTTTGCCACTGAGCTACATCTCAGTACTAAAGTAACATTTTAAGAACGAGAAATCTGACGCTGATGCACTTTTTTTTCTAAAAGATTAATTTATGCCTTATACAGGTACACAGTACATGCATACATGCACACATACACATACACACAGAATCTGTTCTCAAGGTTGGTAGAAAGAAAATTTTAATAGATTTAACAATTTACTAAATTCCTAAAATTGCCCTTGAGTTTGGTGCAGTTTTCTATTTAAATGGATTAGCTTAGAGTCAGTACTGCTCAAAATAACACTAATCACTTTAATTCTGATTAAAGGGGCATGCAGGGCCACTCCAGACAAACTGTTAAGTCAGCAGCAACCTCAATCTCTCAGGAAAGCCTTTGAGAAACACTTATAACATTGTCTGTGGTACTAGGTTTTCAATATTTCTGTATAAGACATTCAATTCTGTATCTATAGTGACGTTAATAGATTTTTTTAAAAAAATCAAAGCATTTTTAACATAAAGGCAAATTTAAGGAAAAAAGGCAGTATCACAAAGGAAAATTAAGTAAATATAACTTTAAAATTCTGGTTTTAAAAAGATTTCAGTGAAGTTGTATTTTTGTGACTAATTCTGGGTGATGTGTTAAGGTTTCCAGCTCATTCTTCAGAGAAATCCTTGCAGCGCACCGGTGACTATCACAACAATTCTTGTCAAAATGCTTTCTCCTGACATTCTTGGTATGACAACTTCATTTACAGTATGTGATTTCCAAAAAGAATCAATTCACTTCTGGACTTACATGCCAATTTTCTTTTAGATTTAGTGTCTACATTACTGTTATCTCTTGATTCTCAAAACAAATTATAGTGGTAAAAAGACTTAAAATCTTTTTAGGATATATTTTATTACATATAATCCAAGGCTCAAGAAAATTAAAGGCACGTTTAATCTATAGCTGCTGAAGACTTTTACTTCTTTTGGATGCAATATAGATCAAACTGGCCTTGAACTTGCTACCTATGTAGCCCAGGCTGGCCTTGAAATTGTGATCCACTTTCTGAGTGCTGCAATTACAAGCCTCTATTACCATGCTCAGTTCAGAATTTATATTTTTCAACCTTGAAGCTAAAACCTTTGAAAGCTCATGCAGAGCATATATAAAGATAATCTACATACAAATTTGGTACATTATAGCATGTCTCTGAACATACATAAAATAATATGTATTTGACTGAAAAACCATAATAGTCTGTTTCATTTATTCAATGGGTATGATATCTTTTGGAAAATTGGATATTTTAAGTGCTCAAGGATAATTTCTACTAAGAAACCTCACGTTAATTTCTTCAGAAAACAGAGCTAATGCCAAAATCATTAGGTCTGAATTTGAGTTGTTCAAAATATTATTTATATTCTTGTAGAATAAAGCACAAGTAGTCTTATGATAGTCTTTCTGTTACTATAAATCTGATCTAGAATAGCAAGTGAGAATGGACAATGCATTAATTCTTATACAGTTCTTATTCTCTTATTCAGAGAATAATTATTTTAGGGACTAAACTCATAGTTTTATGCATGCCAGCCAAGTGGTCTACTGAGGTATATACTCCCAGTCCCAGAGAATGAATTTTAACAGCAATCTATTAAGTATTCTAATACACAAATTGCATAATTTGAACTGCTTTTACTGTATTTCATATATTTTAATATACTTTAGTATTAAATAGTATGTCTCTGTTCTTGTTTTGTTGTTTGTTTTTTTGTTGGTTGTGGGGCTTGAACTCTGGGTTTGGGCACTGTCCCTCAGCTCTTCACCTCAAGGCTAGCATTCTACCACTTGAGCCATAGTGCCACTTCTAGTTTTCTGGTGGTTTTATTGGAGATAAGAATTTCTGGACTTTCCTACCCTGGCTGGCTTTGAACCACGATCCTCAGACCTCAGTTTCCTGAGTAGCTGGGATTAAGCTATGAGCCACCAGCACCAGGCTTTGGTTTTGTTTTTTAAAATGATCATTGCTTAAGATACACTTTTTGGTAAATACTTAGAAATGAAATTAGTTGAGTGCTGGTGGCTCATTTCTATAATCCTAGTTACTTGGGAGATTCAAGGTCAGATTTAAGGCAGAAAAATTTTCAAGATTTCTTCTCAACCCATAGCTGGGTAAGGTGGCAAATGCCAAATGCTACTCATTCTAAGCAAAGTGGGAGGTTGAGCCATATAGGATGGAGGTTCCAGGCCAACCCAGGCAGAAAAGTCCATGAGACTTCATTTCACTGAAGGTAAGCTGGATAGGGGGTTACAGCTGTTTGTCCTAGCAACTGTGGAAAGCCTAAAATAGGCATGGCTCACAAGTAGAGCACCTGCCTTACAAGCACAAGGTTCTGAGTTCAAACCCTAGTAACACACACACACACACACACACACACACACACACACACACACACACACACACACACACACACACACACAACACACACACACACACACACACACACACACACACACACACACACAGGGGCAGAGAGAGTGTTAGAGGGAAAAAAAGGAGACTAGTAAAAATAATAAAGATAGTAATTAAAACTAGAGGTTTGCCAGGCTTCCTAGATACTTAGGAGTCTGAGATCTTAGAATCAGGATTAGAAGCCAGCTTGGGCAGGAATGTCCATGAGAAAGCTGGAAGTGGAGCTGTGGCTTAAGTGGTGGAGTTCTAGCCTTAAGCACAAAAGATCAGGATAGCACCCAGGCCCTGAGACTCTCCCTCCCTCCTTCCCTCTCCCTTCCCCCTTTCTCTCTCTCCCTCACACACACACTCTCTCTCTCTCTCTCTCTCTCTCACACACACACAGAGTAGGGGTTAAATCTTACAGTTTTCATTTATTAAAACTCATCTCAGAGAAAATGCTTGCTCTTCCTGTACATGAGTTTCTTCATTTATTAAAGATAATAAAATAGTATTCTACCACTGAACTACTTTTCCAGCTCAGAAGTTAATTTTTATAAAGCACTTAGCTCAGTCAGTGCCATATACAGAAAACGTTCATTAATTATGTGAATCATTTTTGTTTTTCTCTGGGTTTTATTGTTGAATACCACAAATGCCAAATTGTCTTCTTATGTTGGGGCTCAATATAACAAAGCCAAAGAGGACAGAATGGAAATTCCACATCAGGGCATAATTTCTGATTTGTAGCAATATTTTCACTCTCTTATGCTTATATATTAAACTATTAAATTAGACGCATAATGGAAATAAGAACTGGCAATTCACTACACCAAGATACCAACACAGAGGTTACCCACCTGTGCAATTCTTCTGTTTTGTCTTCAGTTGGACCTACGATTAGTAAACAATGGCGAAGGACAGCTGCCATGACACGGAACTGATGAGAATCACTCTATAGTTTAAAAAAAAAAAGGAAAATTGGGCAATGAAATGCCTTAAAGAGTCTTGTGCATTATTGTATCACCTGGCCCCCAAACTATGCAGGAGACAACACAATGTGCTAGGAAGATTTCCCAAGGCAATACTAACAGTAATTCTCTCATACGAATAACTACAACGCCCACCAGAAATGGATGGCTGAAGATTTAACTGTAATAGGGAATTTTCCAGAAATCCCAGATTTGTTGTTGTTGTTTTATGGTACACCATTCCAGTTTATTTGTCATAAAAATTCAAATAAATGTAATACTATCTTACATTAGGATATTTTAAGAACTGGTTGTACATATTCAATAAAAGTATCTCAACTCTCAAAAGCCATGACTCCATCAACTTCATTTGATCAATATTTTAAAAAATATCTGTTAGTCCTCTGATGCCATTTACCAAACAGCTTATTTGGCTGGAGAATATGAAAATGTAGCATGCTACTTTTGAAAGGCTGAATATTTATTGTTTTAATTCCCATAATAATTGTGCATAAATTAAGAGCAAAGAAATTATATTTACCAGCTTCACATGATCCCAGGCCCCTCTTAACTACCTACAAGTAATGAAAAACAACTACCAACAAATATATTCATTAGCTGTGGTGTCAAAGAGACAGGAGTCAGAGACTAACACTAGGGAAAATAAACTAAGTTTGAATAACCATTTGGTTTCTCTCTTCATTTTAGTGAACTTTTGGGCTATTAGAATTCTTTTCAACTCTGTATCTAGGTCTGTTGCTCTTCACCAGATTTTAAGTAATAAAAACAACACATGACATTAGAAATAATTATTAAGAGAGCCTGGATATGCCTATTTAAGGGAGGCTCTAATTACTTCAAGAGATAATAAGAACTTGAGAAACGTCTTAGTATATAATTGATTTCAGGTACATGTAAAATATACTCACATGCACATATGCTATATTTAAATATTTAACTCACATAGCCCTTCTAGGAAGATGTCTTAGATAAAATCTAGAAACAATAGGCTACACATTCATTACTTATAATGTGGAAGTTTATATTATAAACATAGCATCATCATATGTAGATCTGGAAGAGAGGAAGGCCTCTGGGTACAATGGAAAAGCACTGTACTTTGGACTCGGGAGTTTAAGTTATAACCCTAGACAAGTCATATACAGATTTTCTGAGCTTCAATTTCTCCACACGCACCTCCACAAGCATTCAGTTCTGTTAGGATTAAAGAAAATCAAATGTACAGAAGTGCTTTAAAACAGCTGAAACAAGTGGTAAAGAACTAACTGTGGGATACAGGTGGAGAGAAAGGTACAGTAGAATGCCAAAGCCACTAAGACTAGAAGGATTGGAAGGAATGTTGTCCCCCTCTACCCCTAAATGCTTTAGTGAAAATTCTCTCATGAGTAAATATGAGATACTTACCCTCAAATTACAAGCACACTAAATCTTATGTGACTCTTGATAAGATGGTATTTTCCTTCATTTTGAAAAATTAACTGAGGAATGTGTTACCTTTGTGTTTTCTTGTAGCCACAGTGCTGGTGATTATATGCAGGGACTTGTGCATGCTAGGTAACCACTGGGTTATATCCCTACCCATTTTTTTTAATGTAGTTTAAGTGGGACTTGAACTTGAGATCCTCCTGTCTCTGCCTTTGTATGTGCCAAGCACCTAGTTGTGCTTCCTTTAAAACTACTTTCCTTTACTTGAGGTATAATATTCTTGCTCTTCTTGTGCCGATGGCAAGCCTCTTGCTAAACTTCCCTTTCCTAGGTTTTATAACTCCTTTTCCCAAGTTGGGCTTTCTGTATGTAATGCCCTCTTTTACTATACATCTACTAAATTCTATCTTTTTAGTTAAAATGACTTCTAAAATCACTACCTCTCATTTTTCTTTTGTCAATTCCTTTTTATTTTCCAGGTCTCATCTTTTCTTAGAGAAAAATCCTTCTTTGACTACTTGATTTAAGTAGATATTTTTCATTATTCTCTATCTCTCTGTCTTGTTAAAGTTTCTTATGTAAAATAATAATTAGTATTTCATATTGTTAACTTATACTTAAATATTTCCTCTACTAATCTATTGTATTAGTGAAAACAGAGGTTTACCAGTTGATCAATAATTTTAAATTCAAATATTAAGTATAAAATATATATATATAAACAAGTGTCCAAACTATGTATAGATAATTTCTTAGACTAGAACTTCTACTCATAACTAGCAATGCTAATATTGAGAATCTCAAAATTGTTCTCATGTCCTCAAAGAGAACATCACAGTCTTCTCAAAAGCAATTCTAACTTCTAATATCATAGGGGAATGATTTTTGTTGTCACTCAACTTCTTATGAATTAAATCATAATATAGATTTGTAACTGGTTGTGAGACTTATTAATGTTGTTTTAGTTGCAGTTAGTCCTTTTTCATTGCTTGACAGCAGAACTATTATAAGTGTAATACTAATCAGCAATGTCATAGGTTCAGGTTGGAAACTTCTTGAGCTATATGACAGTATCATGTGTAATACAGTATTGTACAAGACTATAGTTAGGGAAAACTGTCTTATTACCACAGATAGGTTAGGAAAGGAAAGCACTGGGAAGAAGGGAAAGAAGGATGAAAGAAGGGAAAGAAGGAAGGAAGGAAGAAGGGAAAGAAGGAAGGAAGAAGGGAAAGAAGGAAGGAAGGAAGAAGGGAAAGCAGGAAGGAAGGAAGGAAAGAAGGAAGGAAGGAGGGAGGGAGGGAGGGAAGGAGGCAGGAGGGAGGGAAGGTGGGGAAGAGGGAAGGAGAGGGGAAGGAGGGTGACAAAATGAAGGCAAGTACTGCTGGTCAGATTTATAATACAAGCACTCCAGAGGTTAAAGCAATAAGATTTCAAGTTGAAGCCAGCCCAGTTGTACAGCAAGACTCTATCTCAATAAAGCCAAAAAACTAGGGGGAAAAAAGCACTGCTATATAGTATTCTATCATAAGATTATTTCATTATTTATCCATCTTTCTCTGACAAGACATTTGGATTGTATGCAGGTTGGGGTATTTTGAAGAATGCTTTTTGGAACTTACTGGGTATCAAAGAGAGCAGATGCTGAGTCATAGTGAATATGTGTACGCTCAGCTTTAGAAGGTGCTACCAGAGTGCTTTAAAGTATTATCCTCCTAGCTGTCCTGACATTTGATTTTTTTCTGCCTGTTTAATCAATGTTACACCTGTATATAAGGTAGTTTCGGATTTTAGTATGTATTTTCCTGATAAGGTTGAACACCTTTTCATATGTTTATTAGTTATTTGGATAGCTCTTGTGGAAAGTACCTGTTCAAGCCTTTTATCTATTTTCTGTTGATTGACACAAGCAGTTGAGTGATTTCTCAAGTCATTATTACAAACATGGGCTGCAGATAACTTCTTATACTTAGTGAACTATTTTTCCATTTTCTTCTTTCAATGAACTCATTTAAATGAGTATCAATTGGTCAACTTTTCCTTTATAATCTGACCCTTATTTTGTTGTATTCTTTAGAAATCCATCCTTATTTTAGAAATTTTTGATGGTTCACTAGAATTTGCTGTATTGCCAACCATTATTCTCCAAACTGACAACTAAAGGGAAAACATTTTTAATAAGAAAAATTTGACTGAGATAAAGTCATAAAGATAATCTTCTGTAAGCTTTATTATTTTATATGTATACTTAGGTCTCTTACACAACTCAAATGAGTATTTTCCTGGTATAAGGTAGGAATACAAGTCCATTCTTTTCTATATAATTGATGCAATGCCATTTATTAAAAAATTCATCTTCTCCCTACTGTACTTTCATGTTATCATATTCTAAGCAGCTGACTATATATATATGTAGGTTAATTTCTAGATTTTATTCTATTTTATCAGTCTAGTGTTATCATTTAAGTCTTAACAAAGTTAGAGTAGATACTATTTCTACTATTGATTATTCTGTGTGACTTTCTCCAAGTAATCTTAACTTTCTAATCTTCAGTGTCTTCATCTATCAAAATAAGAACACTAAGAGGAGTATATAATTGCTCTTTATAAGCCATTCTGTTATTTACTTGCTTCATGATTTAGTTTTGATACCGATAGGAAATCAATATTCTTTCCCCTGAAAATGATACATCCAAGGAAGAAAGACCATAACAACAAAAGGCAAATGGAGACAGAGCAAGCAAGCTTAGTTGTGGCAGTGGGTATCAAAATGAGATAATACTTAAAAAGGGAGATAAAAACTGAGGAAAAATTTTGGGATATCATTTTTTTTTTGGTTGATTGTGGGGCTTGAACTCAGGCTTGGGTGCTGTTCCTGAGCTCTTTTGCTCAAGGCTAGCACTCTACCATCTTGAGGCACATTTCCACTTCTGGTTTTCCAGTGTTTAATTGGAGGTGGTAGGAGTCTCATAGACTTTCCTGCCCAGCTGGCTTTGAAGCATGATTCTCAGATCTCAACCTTCTGAGTAGGTAGGATTATGGGTTAAGCCACCAGTGCCTGCTGGGATCTCAATTTCTTATCAGGATTCTACTACTGTACTATTTTCTTTTCCCCTCCAATGCAAATGAGGATGGTTTCATTTTATTTGGCATAAGTACCAATTTTATATTCCCATTCAAAGTTTGATCTAATTCATGCCTTAGAGTTAAGACTATATGGTATATGAAGCAGCTGTTCAACACTAAGGTGATATTTTTTATTTTTAAACACATAGAAAATATAGAAAAGATTAGCAAACAATGTAACAAATAGCTTGCTATGGTTTCAATAGTCCTTCCAAAACATACTGAAATCTAATTTCCATTGTCAGTATTGGATGGTAGGATGTTGTAAGAAGTGATTAGATCATGAGAGCGTTACTCCTGTGAATGGATAGATGAATGCTGTTATCACAGGAGTGCATCTGGGTAAGCTGTAATGAGTTCTAGTCCCCTTATACAGTCCATGCTCTGTCTCTTCCAGACTCCAGAACTATAA